CTTGAAAGATCGACCTCTCGCCCACCTCAGCAATAGATATACTAAGTATTGTCATGCCTCTGATCCAACTCTATCTGGGAAGGTGGTTTTATTCAGGTAAATTACATTTTTTACTTAAAGTATCTGTGTCCCAGGAGGCCTCTCTGTCTATCCAGTCCCCAAAGCCTGCCCAGGAAGATGTCTTTCTATACCCAATACTCACTCTGCTTCGCCCAACTGCACTAATTTTTGCTCCTGCTCCAACTGCTCAGCCAGCTTGGTGTTGCACTGAGACACAAAGTGCAGGATCAGTTCACTGCCGTCGCTGTGAAACATCCCTGCGGCAGCAACAGAGAGACCCAGGGTCTGTAGGGAAGAAGGGAGAAGCACAGGCTGGGTCATACACTGCTACGCAGCATCTGGCTAGAAAATACGTTGTATTTATTTTGCAAACAAAGTTATGTGAATTTAAACAAAGCAAGGCTGCATTAAAAAGCTCTTCCTGTAGGTGGTTTTCTCTCTTTAGGATCACTACTCTACATTGTGCCTTAGTCTAACTCTGTCAGAGTTATCCTGGAGTAGCTGGGACATGTTACTGCCCAGTACCATTTGCTGACTAGGGTGCATCGCCCAAGAGTATGTGGGGGAAGCATGCAGGCCTGGCTGTCTTTGGACTTCTGCTCCATCCAGTTTTCAACTGGTTCTTTGCTTGTCTCCCCACATACCTTGGCTCCCTCTGCAATGGCTTCTGCAGTCCAGCCATGTTCAGGCACAAACTCCAGCGCTGCTGTGAGGATTCGATGCTGCAGCTGCTCCTCGCTCTCATAGTCCTCAGACTCCTGGCCACCCTGGCCAGTGTAACTATGAGAAGGTATTGGTACAGTGAGGGGAATGTCACCATCAAACATCAGCAACCTGGCCTCTGCCACTCGTTGCCACCACTGCGTGCAGGCACGCATTGAGATCTGCTTATTTATGTCTCACCTCCTCCTGTAAAATCCTTCCCTTTCTGGAAGAAGGATTCTTAACGAACCTTTGCCGTGAAAGGAAAAGAGAAAAATAAGGGAGGACTCAATCTAGGTGCCTACCTGGAGACCAATCAGCCTCAGATTCCCCCTCCTTTAAAAAAAAAGCTAAACTATAAGCTTTTCCAGCGGGAGCTTTATAGTTACAGGCACATGGACAACATATTGTCCGTATTTTGTGTAGATCTACACAAAAATCCAGAAGCGAAGGCTTGCGCTTTGCAGACCAGAGAGGTTCCCTCTTGAAAGCAAGTCCCATCCTGTCTCCATGGCAGACAGTGGAATCTGCACTGTCACAGCAAACCAGCTCTCCAGCTGCTGCGGTCTGAGGCTCCGTTAACTCTGGATCTCGTTGTCTCCCAGTTTCAGACGCGAGTTGCAGGAAAGCAAAGCCTTCTGATCCCACTGTCAGCAGGACAGCACTAGAAATAGCTAGTGAGTTACCTGGGGCGAGGGCCCTGAGGTTCCTGTTCAGGCTGGTGATCAGTTGGATGCGAATCAAACTGCTGCTGAGAGGAAGATGCCAACGGCTCCTTCTTCTGCTCGTCAGAGACTCTCCTCAGCACAGCCGAGGCCTGGAGAGGACGCTGTGGCAAGGAGAGCTGGCACCTGACCACTAAAAGGGAAACCAAGAGGGTCAGATGTCTCCTTCCAACAAGAGGAAGCAGAAGATTAAGGTGAAGAAGAGAGTTGTGGTAATCACAGCTGAAAAGAACAAGTTTGTAAAGACAGCCTTTTTTTTACACCTCCAAGAAGCGCCCCTCTCAGCTGAGCCCACGTTTACTTGATGGAAATAAAGTGGAAATGTTTTGTGAGGAGGAGAACCATGCAGATGGCATGTACTGCAAATAGCAAGGAGCTTCCCAATCTTGCTCTGGAAACCAGGTACACAAACATGCACTCATGCAGCACGACCTCCCTCCTTTTGGGTCCCTGACGAAAGAGGGGAGTTAGAGGCAGGTGCCAACCCCTGAGCTCAGGGCGAGAGGCAAGTAATGCACTGGAGAGTGAGCAGCCTTAACAGATACAACACGCTGATCACCACGTGCATTTCTCAGATGGCTCAAAGGCAATGCAACTTTCAATTACACCTACTCTGCCAGAATTTTTAATTTAACAGCAGTCAGGTTTTGGGCTTTTTTTTTTTTTTTTAATAAGCTGGGGTTGCACAGCCCACACTTTAAAAAAAAAACCCGCCAACAACCCCAAACCTGCTCCAGTTCCCTCACACGCTGTGTGGGGCGGTTTCAGGG